CCCACTTATGCGGCTTACTCTGACGGAACATAAAGTCAGTGTGGGCAGGGGAGACCTGAGCTGGGGCTGCCTGGGGTGACAGAATGTGTGGTGAGATATCGCTTCTTTTAAAAAGAAGTGTGGGGGGAGGACCCTATAAACATGTAAATATCCCCATAAAAGAACTGGAGAGATTTCCTTTTTCGCTCGTAGTGGCTGTAGGGGGCAGGGAGCTCCAGAGAACTGGGATCCTGACTGGGACTTCCCCAAGCCTGGGGTAAAGAGGTACAGGAGATTCCATTCCTATTTTCAGGGCGCCTTTCCTCCTGCTTTCCCATAGGCCTCCACTACTCACATTTATTTAAGAAACACAACCAACACGATTTACTCTTTACTGCTTGCCCACGTCTTTTCTAACTGGTGGGGATCTGGTAGTTCCTAGTGATGCAAGGAGACCAGGCAAGGAGATGTAAATACTAGTGATAACAATAATAACGGGAGAAGAGATTTTGGAAGAAGTATGGAGACAGAAATATAGAAAAGTTGTGTATACTACTGTGTGTGGTAGGGTTGAGGGGAACTGATGAGGCGATGGATTGCTGAGGATGGCCTGGGTAGAGGCTTTCAGGATGCCTAGAAATGAAAAGGGAAAGGAATTTTCTGGTCCTGGGTAGAGGCTTTCAGGATGCCTAGAAATGAAAAGGGAAAGGAATTTTCTTTCTGGTCCGGGTGTGGGCCCAGAGTGAAAGGGTCTGGGAGAGGGCCCGGGGCACTGAGCTAGCGCCCCCCCCCCAATCCGGTCCTCTGGCCAACCCTGCGGTTCATCTCCACCCAGGAGCGCCCTGGTACCCGATCCACAGCCGCTCGAGAAAGAAGCGTAAGCCCTATTCGAAGTTGCAGCTGGCGGAGCTGGAGGGAGAATTTCTGGTCAACGAGTTCATCACACGCCAGCGTCGGAGGGAACTCTCGGACCGCTTGAATCTTAGTGACCAGCAGGTCAAGATTTGGTTCCAGAATCGGAGAATGAAAAAGAAAAGACTTCTGCTGAGGGAGCAAGCTCTCTCCTTCTTCTAGGAGGCCGGACAGGCTAGCCCCAGACTGAGCTTGCCTTGGTGGAGCAAGAGGGGGCGCAGCCTGGGATACAGTCCCGCTTACAACGCCGGGCCTCTGGCAGGCTCTCTCTGGACGGCTCTTGTCTGTTTTGTTCGTGGTTCCCTCCCACACACATACACCCCCAGCAGGCCCTGCGGGTCCCCGAGAGATGGGAATAAACCTAGTCAGAGAAGACAGAAACCCAGGAGAGGCAAGGGGAGACTGGGGCACTGTGAAAGAGTGGTTTATTTGAGGCAGGACTGGAGCTGCCGGGCTCCCGCTGAGGTAGTGGGCCCCCCCCCCCACCCCCACCCCCCACCACACCCCACCCACCAAAAAAAAAAAGAAAGGAGAGAGAGAGAGAGAGAGAGAGAGAGAGAGAGAGAGAGAACTTCTTCCACTTCCCTTACTGGTCTTCAGTCTCTTTACTTGGTGGAGTAGACAAGGTTGGTGATAGTAGAATCAAGGTGCTCAAACTCATAATTGATGGAGTTGTGGGTTGAGAGGTGGGAGCGAGAACAGAGAGGATCCGTGGACATAGAGAGCTGTGGCGGGTTAGAGGAAGCTGGGTACCAAGGAGGAAATATGGTTTGAGAGAATGAACTGGGGTCTGCCCAAGTCTGAGTCCTCCAGGCCTGAGCACTGGGTTGGCTGAAGTGCCTGCATTTGGCAGACTATCCTGCCGGAAAGTAAACTAAAATCAGCCTTAGATTCTTTCCAGGACGGATCTAGAAAAGTCTCAAGGTCCTAAACCCGCTTCTAAGTTCCCCCAGTTTGTCCCAGGCAAACAGCTCACAGGTGTGCTAGCCGCTCTTTACAGCTGCAGACTGGAAGCTGCAAACAGGAACTGGGAACCAAACTCACACAGACACAGGTTGAGTAGCCACCCCCAGAGACTCCACCTGGCCCTCCGGGAAGCCCAAAGAGGTAATGGAAGGGGTTGCGGAGAGCAGCATTGATTGGCAGGAAGTGTGGGCCCGCCGATTCCCTCTTCCCGCTGGCGTTCACGGTCACGGCCGACCAGAGAGGCTGGACCGGCGTAATTTACGAGGCGGGAGGCGAATCTGCCCTTAAAGGGGCTACTGGCAGCAGAGTCCCAAGCTCAACCCGATTCCCAGGCTGACGACAATGAAGAAGGGGGCGCTGCAGTTCCCCACCCAACTCCTTCCTCTCTATCCCCTACCCGCCCCCCAACATCGCCCTTTGTCTCAGGATCCGCTGCCTCCGCCTCCCGGCCAGCTAGCCACAGAGTACAGGGGCCAAAGCTGAAGAAGGAGGGGCGCATCTCTATATCCAGTTGGAGGCCAGAGAGGAAGGCTTTTAATCCATAGATCCTTTCAGTCTCCAGCCTCAGCCCCAAAGTTCCAAGAGGCCGGCTGGCTGTGGAAAGAAAGGGTCCGGATAACCTCCTAGCCCTCCTGCACCCTGTTTTTACTCTTCTCCACACGATCCACCAGCTCCCCATCTGCTGTCTCACTCCTGTGGAAACACAGGGCTGAAAAGCAGGAGATTGACAGAGCTAAGTGCAGCTTGTGCAATGCGAAACCACCCACTGAAGTGAGGGGACTTCTTCCCACTCTCAGAGGGCAAGCCACAGAATATTGAGCTCCCCCAGTAGCACACTTCAAGTTTGTTTACAGGGTTGTTCAGAGACACAAGCAAATGTATATACACACAGATGAGCCCACCAAATCATTGGGTCCAAACCTGCTCCCTAATACAATTGCCAGCAGGCAGCTTCTTGGTCTCCATTTGGCTCAATAGAGAGGAGATACAATCACATGTCTTGATCCTCCATTGGGTACCTGACACATCTTGCCATCCACTATTCATGTCCACCTATGTACAAGTTCCCAGAAATCAGCTCCATTCCAGCTGTCCACACTATCTCCTGTGGGCTGGCCATGGGAATGAAGTACTATCCCCCGCCTTCCTCCGTATCCCCTTGTGCAGCTCTTCCAAGTGACTGGTGGGCTCTAGAGTGTTGGATTCAAGTTCCACCCACTCTGATTTGATTCCTAAAGCCTGGTAGGAAAGAGACTAGAACTTTCCAAAAGGAAGGGGGCAAAGTTATGCAATATTCTCTTTCCTTTGCTTTAAACTTGACTCCTTTGAGCTTCTTTGTCAGTATCTGTCCTGTTGATTGTGTCTGTCTCTAGTATCTACTGTAGTTCTTGTGGTAGTCAGCATCCTCTACCTCTGTTCCCAGATCTGTGTAGTGTACTCCCCGATTCAAGCATCTGTCTTTAGCACGTTTTCCCTTTATATAGTCCTTGTACAGAGCTGCTTCATCATGTTAATATTAATAATTAAAACAATGATGTATGACGATGTGATGTTTTGAGAACCATTTCTAAAACTGGGTTCCCCACATATAGTCTCTTCTTCCCAGATAGAACAGGAGCCCTGGGCCCTTAGCATTTAAGACAAAATAATGCATGTATAATAATAAAGAGCAGTTGCATGGGTAACAAAAATATATGACCAACCAAGATCTGTTGATGAGCTGCCATATCTAGTCCCAAGCAATTACTGACAGAAAGCAAACTGGGGGGGGGGTATGTTGGGGAAGGAGAGGAAGCTCTGAAGAGTCACTGGGCTGTAAAAAATTAATGTGGACAGCCTAGAGGAAGGGAAACTGGCTTCAGAAAGTAGGTCTGCATCTGAGGGACTGAAAGAAACAGAGCCAGGACAAGGGGCAGTGTAAGTGTCCTGGGGGCTGGCCTGTGCTGATTGGTGGACCTGGAGCTGCAACTCTGTGGTTCGAATCTGGCAACTTCACTCTGAGAAGATGGTTTGTGTACTGTGAAATAACTAGGCAAGGGGACAAAAGCCCCCTAGAGCTGGTAATATAGCCTGCAGTTCTTGAAGCCAGCAGTCCTCTCAGGGCCTCTCCAGAGCCAGAGCCTGACTGAAAGCTGGGGTGGGATGCATTGTCCCCCGAAGCAGCAGCACCTCCACCCAATTCTCCCTCCTCTAGAAAATGCTATCCACCTGCTAGACACTTGGACCTGCCTCTTGCTCTCCCCTCAATTACCCTTTCTGAATTGTCTGACTCCAGTCTTGGGAGTCTCCTCCAAATTCTTCCACCTTCTTTCCAGGCCTGAAATAGCAGGGTCCCCCAGTGGAGTCAACTATGCCTCCAACCCTGAAATCTCTCTCCTCCTCCTAACTATAGAGAGTAGCACACTTAAACCAAATCCCATTCTCCCTTTACTCTTAATTCCCAACTCCCTTGTAGAGCCTGGACATAGGTAGAAAGGAGACCTAAAGTCTTGGGGTGCTCATATAAAAATCCCCTCAGAGTGAAGGAGAACCAAGAGCTGGGGGGAAGGGCTGGTGGCTGCTTCTGGATCTGAATAAAAGGGAAGGGCCAATGAATCCAGACAAGTGATTGCTCATTTCTTATGATACATACATAGGAAGGGGCAATAGTGCAAGGATTTCTGGCCTAAAATGGGAGGCAGGGGTGTTAAGGAGACCATGAGCAGTGACTGGTTTTTAATTTTATTCCTTGACATATTCCCAGACAGTTCCAATATGAAACAGAGGGCACCTTGTTGGATGGTGTCTATGCAGGCTCCCAGATTCAAAAACTGAGGAAGTTAATGAAGGAAAAGCACTACAACCATCTTCTCAAACTAAGAAGCAATACTTCCATCTCTGTCTAGGTGGGGATTGCATCAATGTTACAACTATTTGTATAGTTTAAGCTCCAAAGTCTAATTTACTCCAATTTTAAGACAAAGTATCTTGTTCTGTGACTGGGTCTTAGAAGAGCAAGAAAATAGAATTACTTGAATAACCTAGGTAGGAAAATAATGGCTAGGCTGAGTGTATGTAAACTTCTATCATCCCAAGCGAGGTCTGTATTGGATTTGATCATCCACTAAGTTCTACACGCCTATCTGTATTGCTGAAGCCACTGTCCAGCGGGCAGGAGATGATGGGGTCCGCAGTCGAGTTCCGTGGATACTAATGTAGCCGGAAGCCCAGCTCCTTGGATCCATGGCTCAAACCCAGAGTTAAGCAGGGACCGGCGGCCCAGATCCGCAAACAAAGCAAACCCCGAGCCCTCCCCCCTTTACACACACACACACACACACACACACACACACACACACACACACACACACACACCCACCACACGCCCCCCACC